AAACCAGCGGATATGAAAGATGAAAGCTAAAAGAAGTTAAGTAGAAAGACGTTGGCCACAATTAAAAAATGGGTTGATATCAAAATGTTTCATCATATAGTATAGAAGCCAAATGCTCACACCATTTAAGAAAATTAACAGCATTGTATAAGAAAAAAACATGCATGAATAAAGTTATACTAGTTAAAAAGCTTGTAACTTTATAATACAAAGATGGACGATCGATTACAGAGCACTTGAGTGATTATTAAGGTATGTTTAATCAAATGATTACTATTGAGCTTAAAGTGAATGAGAAAAGAAAGTGTTTTTTTTTTTTTTTGGAGTTTATTGCCAGACAATTGAAATACTTTAGTTGTGATTGTTATTAATTTAGCTCATAACTACAAGATGACGTTAGATACGGTAAAAGACAACATGCTTAAGGAAAAAACAAGGTAAAAAGAGTCATACTCTTTGAATCAAGCTCTTGTCATAGAGAATGAGGGTAGAAATATTGATAGAGTTCAAAACTTGAAAGATCGTAATAAGTTCAAACATAGTTATACTAGTTATACTAGTTAAAAAGCTTGTAACCTTATAGTACAAAGATGGACGATCGATTACAGAGCACTCGAGTGATTTTTAAGGTATGTTTAATCAAATGATTACTATCGAGCTTAAATTGGATGAGAAAAGAAAGTGTTATTTTCTTTAGTTTATTGCCAGACAATTGAAATACTTTAGTTGTGATTGTTATTAATTTAGCTCCTAACTACAAGATGATGTTAGATACGGTAAAAGACAACATGTTTAAGGAAAAAGCAAGGTGAAAAGAGTCAGACTCTTTGAATCAAGCTCTTGTCATAGAGAATGAGGGTAGAAATATTGACAGAGTTCAAAACTTGAAAAGTCGTAGTAAGTTCAAACATAGATCTATGTCCAGAGTTAAAGTAAAGTGCTACCATTATGATAAACCTAGTCATATAAAGTGAAACTATAAAATCTTGAAGCAAGAGCAAAAAGATGAAAAAGGTAAAAGTTTAGATAATGTCAGTGTCATAACGTGAATTCAGATAATAATTTAGTTACCTTAATTTATACACATTGTATTGTAATAATGTTGGTGATCCCAGCATTGATTGGATAGTTGACATAAGAATGATATATTATTATATTTCTAGGAGGGAGTTCTTTACAACTTACAAAGCAAGGGATTTTAGTTACATTAAGATAGAAAATAAGAGAATGTCATAATTTGTTTTGATTAGTGATATTGTAACATAAACTAGTAAGGACTGTATGTTAACTTTAAAGGATGTGAGACATATTCTAGATATGATAATGAAGTTGTTTACGATTAATATCAATGGTGAGGAAAGATATGAGAGTCAACCAAAAAAATGAAAAATGAAAGCTTTTCAAAAGATCTATGATATTTGTAAGAGAAAAACTATGTTGCAAAATGTATAAGATATGAATGAAATTGAATAATAACCAGATAATGTCATTGATAATAATGTTTTAGCAAATTTGTGGTACAAAAGGTTGGCACAAATAAGCAAGAAGGGGTTAGATATTTTAATGAGACAATCTTTCATTTCCTTGATCAAATGTATGTCTCTCAATTCATATGATCATTGTTTGCATGGCAAGTATCATAAAGTTTTTTTCATAAGCATTCTCAAATGAAAGAAAATAAATTAGAATTGATTTATTTTGATGTACGTGATCTCATTAAAGTTAAGTTATTTGGTGGTAGCAGATACTTTATTACTTTTATTAATGACATTTCACATAAGACTTGAGTGTATATGTTAAAAAAAAGAGCCAAGTACTGTAAAATTTTCCAAAATTTTATGCGATGATGGAAAGAATGATAAAGTTGCTCTTGAAGTGTATTTAGACCAATAATGGTAAAGAATACATATTTAAAGACTTTGAAGAATATTGTTCAAAGCATGAGATTAGGCATGAGATAATAGAATCGAAAACACCATAACATAATGATGTAGCTGAAAGGATGAACACACCATTATGATAAAAGTCATATGCATGCTAAGGACAACAAAATTATCAAAGTCATTTTGGGGTGAAGCAGTCAACACAGCCTGCTATTTATAATAGACCACCATAAGTTTCATTAAGTTTTGACATTCCAAAAAGAGTATAGGTAGAAAAAGATGCTTTATACTCTTACTTGAAGGTTTTCGGGTATAAAGCATTCATGCATGTATCAAAAGAGTATAGGCTAAAGCTTGACAATAAAGCCACATAGTATGTATTTGTCTTATATGATAATGAGGGATTTAACAACAAGATATGGGATCTAGTGAAGAGAAAAATAATAACAAGTAAAGCTGTGGTCTTCTATAAAAAATAAACCATAACAAACCTTGAAAAGAGTGAGAAGATTACAAAAGTTACTGGTGATTGTGATGATTTAACATCGACGAGGTTTTCACCTAGAAAAGCCACAGATGACGAAAATAAGTAAGAGACAAGACTTGAGGATATGAATGAGCCAGCCACAGTTAGTAATGAGCCATATGCAATTAATTTTGAGTAGAGGGAATAGTCATTTCTACTGAAAATTATTGAGCAAGGTAAACAATCCTCTCCACCAGAGAATGGTGAATAGCGAAAACCAGCATTAAGTAGTATAGAGTCTTAGCTTAAAAGATCTAGCAGAAAACATTGGCATTCCTTCAAGTATTTAAGTTCAAATTTTATTTTGGTTATTAGTAAGGGAGAGCTAGAAAGCTTCAAGATGTGTAGACTATTCAAGATAAAAAGCACTGATTAAAAGTAATGAAAAAAAATAGAGTCATTGAAAAAAATGATACATACGATCTTATTAAGTTTTCAAAAAAGAGAAGGCCATTGAAGAAAAAATGGGTGTTTAAGCTAAAAAATGATGGTGATAAGCTAGTGAGGTATAAAGCTCGATTGATAGTAAAAAGTTTTTCTCATAAACTTGGCATCGATTTTGATGAGGTTTTCTCTCCAACTGTGAAGATGAGTTTCATTTTAGTGGTAAAGAGATTAACAGCTAGTTTGACTCTTGAGCTTAAGTAACTTGATATTAAGACTGTATTCTTACATGGTGAAATATTAGAAGAGATTTATATGTATCAGCTTAAGGGTTTTAAAGTGAAAGGGAAAGAACATCTAGTTACAAATTAAAAAAAAAAGCTTATATAGCTTAAAACAAGCTCTGTGGTAGTGGTACAAAAAATTTAATTCTTTTATGGTGAGTTATAGCTATAAAATAATAATAGCCAATACTTATGTGTATGTCAAAAAATTCTCTATTGATAACTTCATTATTCTCTTATTATATATTGGTGATATGGTGATTATGTGACAAGATGCTAGTATGATTTGCAAGTTGAGTGAAGAATTGTCTAAGTTCTTTGACATGAAGGATTTAGGTCCAATAAAACAGATTCTCAGTATGGATATTATTTGGGATAAAAGAGCTAAAAAGCTATGGTTGTCACAAGAAATGTATGTTGATAAGGTATTTAGTAGATTCAACATGTAACATACTAAATTAGTTAGCACACCACTTGCCAACCATTTTCATCTTAGTAAGAAATCTTGTTTGATGACTAAGGAAAAGCAACTAGCTATGTCTAGTATTCCTTATTCTTTTTCAGTCGATTTTTTAATATATCTTATGGTTTGTATACGACCTAACATTGTTATATAATTGGTGTAGTGAGTAAATTTCTTTCTAATCCGAAGAAGGTTTACTGGGAAGCAATAAAATAGATTTTTAGATATTTGAAGGCCATTTTAAAAATATGCTTGAGTTATAGAATACATAACCAGTTTTAGAAGGGTTTACTGATGCTAACATAGTAGGTGATCTTGATGGTAAGAAATCTACTTTAGGGTATTTGTTTACTTTTGTAATAGGAGTTATGTCTTGACAGTCTAAGTTACAAAAATGTGTTACCTTCTCAACTACAAAAGCTAAATATATTGTAGCAATCGAAGCAAGGTAAAGAAATGCTTTGGGTGAAACATTTTTTTTTTGAATTAAGGTTGAATCAGAAAAGTATGTGATGTTTTGTGATAGCTAGAATGCTTTAGATTTAAGTAAGAATACCACGTACCATACTAAAATAAAGCACATTGATGTTAGATATCACTGATTGCATTCGATAATTAAGAAGCAGCAGATGCAGTTAAAGAAAGTTCATACTAATAAAAATGTGATAGATATGTTGATAAAGATACTTTTAAAGAAATGCTTCAACTTTACAGTAATTTAGTCGGAATAGATTCCTTAGGTAAGATAAGTTCTAAATCAGATTGCTATAGTGATAGATCTCCTTTTAATGGGGTTGGAGGGGAAGATTAATAAGCATGTGGGGTCTAGCCCCATATGTCTTAATAATAATAATAAAAAAAAAAACCATGGGTTTTGTTTTAGGCAATTGAGAAATAAAAGCCCTAGTTACTAATGAAGTGGGAATTGATTGATTAGATGTGAAAAAAGTGAGCCACCAGAGAAGAAAGAAAAAGAGAAACTAGAAAAAGAAATAGAGAAATAGAGAAATAGGAAAAGGAGAATGGAGAGTTATCAAATCGATCAAGAAATTGAATAAATGACAGCTATCAAATTGATCAAGAGATTGAACAGAGATCAATTTGTAGTCTGATTGCGTTAAAATTCTATTAGCACGTTCATGATTTAGTGTTCTATATTCTATACAGTGAAAATCAGAATTGAAGCTCTCTAAAATAAATTCTTAGTGTATTTGTTTAGTCTTTATTTAGTAAAATTTTTTTACTTATCTCTCTAATGTTGTTTAACTCTAGTTTTAGCTAGAAAAAAAAATTATATATTCATTATTTAATAATAAAGATTTTTTTGGTGGTTTATAATTTTTTTCATTAAAATGAAAGTTTTTCTACGTAAATTTTTATATGTTTTATTATTATTGTGTTATTGATTATTGATTATCATCTTTTTGTTATGAATTTATTGTGATATATTACTTTCACATTATTATATTTATCGTTTTAAGTTCAACAATTTTAACCTTAAATATGACGGGATGAGTAAAAGGAAATTTATCAAGATTTTCCAGTAACAAGAAGGAAATCGAGAATAATCCAATTTAAGAATCAAACGCTCTCGAAGAATCCACCTGATGGTATTTGGATCTTTTCATCTCATTGTTTAAGAATAATACATTTGCTCTATCGAATACTCCCTTGTAGGCATGGGGAACATTTATAAAAACATTAAAATAGGAGGATGTACATTGCCAATCTTTTCATATGATTCTATGGATGCTACGAGGAAGTTTAAATGACAAAACTTTAGATTAGTTTTTACGTTCCACTTCTGTAGCTTACTGTGGCTCTTTCAGAGTTGGATGATAGGTTTTTTCTTTTTATAGTTAGGGTTTCATTGCAGAAATATTTATAAGTCAAATAATAATTAAATATTTTCCCGGTTTTTGTCCTTCAACCATTATTCAATTAAGTCCGATTAAATAAGATCGGATTGGTGCCTTTAAAGAGGTCGAAAATAGCTCGAACATGCCAGGACCACATCTGGTCGAATAATGACCTTAGTAGGCCATAGATGAGGAGGGTGAGGTAATCGAAGAGAGAAAAGGGGAGAAGAGACTGCGATGGAGAGATTATTATTGTTAAAAACAAATGTTGGACATCATGCGTGACCTGTTTTGGTCCACATGAATTTATGGGCTTGTACCGTGGGTTGGGCCTAGATTGCCGCGAGGTAGAACCTCAACAATTTACCATATGTGGGTTCCTAGAAAGAGGAAGGATTAATTTCTCTTCAATGAACCGAAAGAAGCAAAGTACATTATTTGACTTCTAAGACTTTTGGACGATTTCTTCACTTCCAAATAAAGACTTTTAATGTTGTACTATATTAATTTTATTTTTCTTACAAGCATAAGCAAAACCAAAGGGATATCTTGTATTATAAAGAGCCCTCTTCCTCATTTCTTTTTTAGTTCCTACACCGTACCTAACAACATTTGAAACCAAAGAAATTGCGTGCATTGGGTTATCTTTTAAAGGATTAGTTTGATTTCAATGTTCATTTCTTTCATGTTATCATGCAACCTTTAGTTTCCTCTTTTTTTCCTTTTTCTATGAAGTAAATTTGATGTATTATGCCTACATTCCGTGCTTTGATTGCAGCTCCGAAATTTTCTATTTGAAGAGGCAAATTATGAAGAAAAGAATAATTGCAAAAATCAGAAAGTTTCTCTCGTGCACTGGTATGTATATGTCTCAAAAACCCATTTATTTTGTGCAAGGTTGATTTTTTTTCTTAGAAAAAGAAAATATTTATTATTGGCAAATAATTGGTTCAAACGACAAAAAAAAGTATATTATTTATTTATTATTTATAAGAAAGTAATTATCTATAAATTTATTAAATTTAATATAAATAAATTTGTTTCAATAGACTATAAAAAATATTTCCAGTAAAATTACCGATAAAAAATACTTATTTGATAAACCTGATCTCCCACACGGAGGTTTTTTACGTTATTGACAAAACTTATCATAAATTTTGTTTTTGAAAATAATCAAATCGGTTTTTAGTAAAATTCAATTGATAATCCCATTAGCCATTAATCTTTGACGCTTCTTGTTGTTGCTTTGCAGCATCCGGTGCTAACTCCGCTATCATCCCAAACAGCGTAGATGTACGTGAAGAATATGCCAATGCCTTCCGAACAGAATCATACAACGAGTTTTGGACACATGTCCTAGCCGTATCCCATCTAGATTCTGCCACGTGTATTAGCCCAATGGATTCAACCACTGCAGCTCGGCTTCCTTCTTATCGGCTCTTCGCTGAGCATCTCTTGGATCCGAACCAACCCACAGTTACTCGGATCCTTACTTTGATCCAAAACCGACCCCAAACCCACACTATTTTGTTAGACTATTTTTCCCAAACTGCCAACGCTTCTCTCTATTGTGGCTTATTACTAAAAGATATCGACCATACGCGTGTCAAATACCGCTCTTTTAGGACCTCATTTCAAGCTGCTCAATTCTCAGACGAAAATCAATTTTCGGGTGTTATGACCCGCTTAATTGACTTCTCAAATTCTCCTAACCCGTTTATATCAACTGCTCCATCTTCAAGCCGGGTTCGTGTAATTCAAGCCGGTTGTTGTGAATTGCTCAAACGACTTGAGTCTAGTCGCAACAAGGCTCGGGCTAAGCTCCATATAACAAACAAATTCCAGCATGGGTCGGGCATATTTCTAGTGGCATTAACGGCTTCACTAACCATAATAGTTGCATCCCATGCTCTAGCGTTGCTTGTGGCTGCGCCGGGTCTTGTAGCAGCTTCACTTGAGTTGGCCTCGACTAGAAGGCTTGCAAGGGAGTCGGCTCAGCTCGACACAGCTGCCAAGGGGACTTACATATTGAATAGAGATTTGGACACAATAAGTCGGCTAGTAGCTCGGCTAAATGATGAGCTTGAGGACATGCGTGCAATGGTTAAGTTTTGGCTTGAGCGTGGAGAAGATAGACTTCAAGCCAGTGGTGAAGTGGCGCGCCAGCTGAAGAAGAATGATGCTAACTTTACCCAACAACTTGATGACTTAGAGGAGCATCTTTATTTGTGTTTCATGACCATAAATAGGGCTCGAAACCTTGTTGTGAAAGAGATTTTGAATCCATCCTGATCTGATGATACCAAGATAATTAATCCATTTATTCTGTCCACAATGATGTAGCCCAAAAATCTCTTTACTATTGTTGATTTTTCTTAATTGTTTTCACAAAATATTAAAAAAATTCAATCAAAAAACATATATTTTCATTAAAAGAATTAGTTTCGTCGAACATAAAAAAAAAAAAAAAATTAGGAAAACTTGGGCCACTGGGTACTTTTTTTGTAAATAATAATTACGGCCGGTTACAAATCAATGCCACCTCAAAGGTTCAACTAATTACCAACAATTTTAAGCCAAGGATGATGAATATTTATTGCTCACCAACTCTTTACCGTAGAAGTCGCAGATCTGATGAACAGTCAATCAGATATTTAGAATCAATATCTACTATTTGGTGTCTCCCATGCCCTTGTCACCATCTTTTCTTGTGATATACATGAAATTACATGATATTTCCACGAGTGTGAAGTACAAAACTAAAGAAAATGAAGAACTACGAAAATTCTGGTAAATCGAGACGGTTGCACTTTCCACTTTGCTCCCCAAGAAACAATTCCAGCATCACTCGAAATTTATGACACTTCTTTTTTCTTTTAACTCCAAAGTCTAAGCTCTGTATGCTATCTACCATGTCTGGCATCATTGACAATTGAAGATCAAGCCAGCTGCATTACAATTAATCAAAGGTACTGAAAAAAAATAAAATGAACACAACAACATGAGATCTATCAGTATTCGCAGAATCAAGTCCGTGATATTGAAACATAGTGATGTCCAGTGGGGATGTTCTCCTTTGCACCGTTTATGTGTCGTAATTTTGTGTCGTACGTAATTGTTAATCGAAGTCTTACATTTTACTACAGGGGAATGCCATGGATGTACTAATGGTCAAATTTCTTTTAGACGAAGAAAAACATATGGGCCAAGCAACAAGCGTGGCTGACTTATAAAATTTTCTTTTTCTTCCAAACAAGGGTGGCTTTGTGGTTTAATCCTTACATTTTCTTCTTTGGTTTTCCTATGAGCTGTTTTGAGACGAAGAAGTGATAAAGACGAAAATGATGAAAATTTTTATTGTAATCTTTTATTTTATAATGAGCCTCAAAAATTATTTATATAAAGGTAAAATATTACAAAATAAGAAATATAATAAATAAAAATAATGGCTAAATCAATTATTATAATAAATTAAATTAATATCAAATCAATTTAAAATATTACTAGTATATATCATTGAAATTAATTTAGAATATTATCATAAGATTACTATAATATCATTGACACCCTTGTAAACTCAAGATGGTATTGTAGAGATTAACTTGAGTTTTAAAACTTGGACAAAAAATTGAACAAGTGAATGTGATTTGGTGAAGATATCTACTTTTTAATTAGCACTGACAACAAAAACAAGTCAAAACGTTTGAGTGAGTAAATGGTGATGAATGAAGTGGAAATGATTTTAATATGTTTAGTACGTTCATGAAAAAAATCAAAGTAAGCTATTTGAATGATACTTTGATATCACTAAATATAGGAGTATTGGAGTGATTAAAAACACCTATATCCTGAAGTAACCATTGTAACCATAGAAGTTTTGATATGGCATCTACAAGAACTCGATAATCAGCTTCAGTGCTAAAGTGAGACACCATAGTTTGTTTCTTACTTCACCAAGAAATAAGAAAAGCATTAAGAAAGAAATAGTAGCTCATGGTAGAACAATGATCAGTAAAATCTTCTATCAATCAACATCACAATAACAATGCAAGTCTAAAAAGGAATTAGAGAAAAAATTCAAACCAAGGACCATAGTACCCTTGACATAGCGTAAGATTTAGAAGACAATAGCAAAATGAGTATATTAAGGAGCAGATAGAAATTGACTAACCAAAAAAAACATCATAGGCAATGTTCGGACAAATAACTGTCAACTATACTAGACTATTCACCAAAGTTTGATACAAAGAAAGGTTTAAAAATGGTGTACCATAAGAAGAAGAAGGCTTCAAATTTATTCAAGTGGTGATGATGCAATCTTACTATCAGTTAAACTTGCTTGAGCACTACGATTAGAAGCATACTTTGTTTGAAACAAATGTAAGCCAGTAGAATCACTAGTGACTTCAAGACCCAAAAAATAACTAAAAAAATTAAGATCTTTCATCTCAAACTTAAAATGAAGAAAAGTCTTCAAATCTCAAATACCTTCTACGTCATTACCTATAATGATCATGTCATCCACATAAAATAAGAGAAAAGTAGTACCTTTATCAATAGTTTTGAGTAAAAAAGGCAAAACATGATTACTAGATGTAAAACCAAATTATGCAACAATGGTACTATACTTCGAGAACCAAGCTCTAGGGGTTTGCTTAAGATAATATAGGGTACATTAAAAATGAAAGACCATGTTGAAAAGTATAGATGAACTAATGGGTGACTTTATATAGACTTCCTCAACAAGATCACCATTTAAGAAGCATTTTTAACATCTACTTAATAGGTTTGTCATTTTTACCTGCAACAATAGCTAATAATAAACAAATAGATGTGAGACATGCAACTGAGGCAAAAGTCTCTTCATAGTCAATATCATATTCTTGTCTAATTCTTCAAGCAATAAGACGAGTTTGCAACATTCCACTGACCCATTAAATTGAATCTTGATTTTGTATACCCACTTTCAATCAATCTCTGACTTATCAAAAAGTCATTCAACAATGTCCTAAGTATTAGTTTTCTCAAGAGCCTAAAACTCTTTTCCATTGTTTGTTACCACATAAGATTAGAGATAGTCCCACAAAAAGTATGAGGTTTATGTAATGTGGTTAAAGTATAATAACAGTGAAAATTACGAAGTTGAGTGTTGAGTTCCCTTACTCGGGTGAAACGACGAAATGAAAGCGATATGTATGGTGAAAAGATAACTGTATCAATAGAAGCTTTAGTCAAATCAAACATAGTAGGAATGGAAGAAGATGAATCATTATTTAAGTCCGAAATACCTATAATAGTCTCCTCATTTGAAGAAAAAATAAAATATGAATCTATAAAAATATATGGAGAAAAACATGGCGAATGTAATGAGGACACATTTGTGAACTTTTTATTTTATCAAAAAACATGTTTTGAGATGCGAAGACGTTTAGACACAGGATTATAACACCTATACCCTTTATGTTCTATTTCATAACCTAAAAAAAATATTATGAGAAACACAGCCTAAGACACCAGTAGAATCAAGTGACTTTATTTGAGAAATAAATGTATGTCCTAATCTAGAATGCCATAAATCTAAAGAAACTGAAGAGTTAGTTGTTTGAAATGTAGCGATAGTAATCAAATGTTGTGGAATTTTCAAAGTTTCAAACTCAAATAGTGTTCCAATCTTATGCCCTGTCCTAATTTTTTGATCTATTAGAGGATCCTGCATAACATAGTCATATAGTTGTGAAAAATACAAATCAAGATCAAAGTCACAAAGTTAGCCAATAGATAGCAAATTTAAGGTAAGATTAGAAGCATGGTAAGTGTTAGATATACAAAATTTCGAGGTTTCAATATTACCAATGTGGCTAGCTTTAAAGATAGATCTATTTGTTGTTTTAATGATTGAACCATTAAGTACATGTATCTTGTTTTTAAACAAAAAAAGATCAACAAGCATATGATTTTCATAAGCAATATCAAACAACCAAACATTACCTGATGTAGCAGCAAACATGGCAAGAATATGAGATCAGGATAAAACTTGATTGAATAGGAAAATCAGTAGTAAAGATTATAATGGTCTTAAAAGAATACTCAAAAGTATTTGGTTTAGTGGCTATTGCTCTAGTAGTTTGGTCGGTGCAAGAATTATAAATTCAACTACTATTACGATGATATTTATCTTTACATTTCTAAATAGGATGATTAGTCCTCACACATCATGAACAACGTTTTTTAAAAATAAAGCTACTATTTTGCTTAAAAGCAGCAGCAACAATAGTATCAGTACTATGAGTTTGACTCATACCTAACCTAATTTTCTCAATATCAATTTCATATGAGCATTATCTATAATTGATAAAGGGTGTTGGCATAAAAGTGAAGATCCGGTATTCTCAAATTCATTTTGAAGTGCTATTAGAAATTGAATAACATGAATTTGATTTTGATAATTAATAAAGTTGCTAGCATCACTTTCATCTTTGAATTTCAGCTTAAAATTCTCAAACATGTCTCATAAATGTTACATTTTAGAATGAAAATCATCAATCGACTTACCTAATTCTTGATGATGATGAGATAAATTGATCAAAATATGATGTTGATAAGCAAGGGTAGTAGAGTAATGCCGTGTGGTAAGAAAATCTCAAGCATCTTTAGCCAGCTCAAATTGCCCAAAATATACATTGATAGAAAAAACAATAGTATTAGTGAACTATGTAAGAATTCGATAATTCTTACTTTTCCATTCCTCTAGCCAATATGAAAATTTATCAATGGATTATTCTTTTTCTTTTTCTATTGGTTTGTGTTTTTCGATAATAGTTTCATTCGTTTTAGATAACTATGCATAGCTATAAGCCACCAATTATAATTATTTTTATCAAGGATAATTGAAATTAGTTATACATTTTTCTCGTTAATACTCACCATTAAGTTTTTTATTGAAAAAAATAAAATAGAAATGTGAGAAGTTATGGGTATTGATATAAAAGATGAAATTTGAATATGGGAAAAAAATGAAAAAAATTGAAATGCGAAAGCAAGAAAAAAAGAAAAAGTTAGAAACAAACATTAACTAAGGATGAGAATAAGAAAATATTGATTATTCTAAGGTGATTCACCTTTGAAATCATAAAATCACTTTGATACTATGATAAAGAAGAAAATGATAAAAATTTTTATTATAAAGACTTGTATTTTATAATAAAACTCAAAACCTATTTATATAGAGATAAAATATTATAAAATAAAAAATATAATAAATAAAAAGAATGACTAAATCAATTCTTATAATAAATTAAATAAATATATAATATTCTTTAAATCAATATTAAATATTATTAAAATAATATAATTGAAATTAATTTAGAATATTACTAAATAATAGTAAAATATCATTGATAGACAATAAGAACCGCACATGATTAAGGTCCCATGCATACATCATTTTCATAGGCATCAGAAGGATCTTATAAAATGTGTAGTCCATTTAGAAAACTTTCAAATTATTTGACTCGATAAACTTTCGATAAGGCCAAAGTAAACTCGATATAGTTGCAACGTTTATAGTTGCAAATTTATTAATCATCAATTCTTTGCAAGGTGTTACTTTCGATGGTAACTCTTCATCAATGAATTAAGAGTATAGCCATGAAAGCAAATCTCATTGTTGAAAAAAAGGCTTTTAAAAACAGTTTTCAACAATGAATTATGAAATCAAGCATCTCAAATGAAAATTTCCATTACAAGACACACATTTAGTAAGAGTGATCTTGTTTCATTTTGCTATTATTACACGGCATCCTTGTAATGTTGGCGGATTTGGCATTAGAGGGGTTTTAAGTTCAGTTAATGCAAAAGATCATGAGATAGAAGGTGGGATTTGCCTTAATTTACAAGTAGTGCTACTAATTAGTCTTCTGGAAAGGGAAAAATATTAAGACATAAGAGAATACAATACTTTCAATCTTTCTTATGCTCAAATGGTGGGGAAGATTCAGCATAATTTATGACCACGACTCATATTACTATATAGTTTATTCTCTATTTTTTGAAACTTGAGTGCCTCCAGGTTTTTTTTTTTTTAATTTACTCCCATTGAGAAAGCCGAAGCGGATGGTAAAGGTGCAAATTTTGAGGTTTTTTTTTTTTTTTTTTGTAATATTGACATTTATTTTAACCATGGCACAGACAGTGAGATAGCACATTTTTACCCAACTTGACAACAGCTTCCGAAACCAGAATAGGGGACTCTGGCATATTAATGGATCACAACTGCTCTCATGAATCCCATTAATGCAATCCCAACGACATCAAGTGTATGTATGTGTTTGTCTCTCTTCTTCTATCAGTATTTCTACACTCTAAATTCTAGTCTCCTTTTTCTACCTACAATTCTTTGTATCTTCGGAAACATTTTTTCTATTTCTTCTAAGATTTTCATTTTCCTAAACCCAAAATAAATAAATAAATAACAATCATCAAGGATATGGCAGCTGAAACAGGGAAGAAGGAAGAGATGGCGAAGGTGAAAATCACCAGCAAAAGCCATGTCAAGCCTGGGAAGATTGTAGGAAGAAAAGAATGCCAACTGGTCACATTTGATCTACCATATCTGGCATTCTATTACAACCAGAAGTTGCTGTTTTACAAGGGTGGGGAGTTTGAGGAGAAAGTGGAAAAACTCAAGGATGGGCTCAGGGTAGTTTTGGAGGAGTTTTATCAGCTGGGAGGCAAGCTTGGAAAAGATGAGGAAGGGGTTTTCAGGGTGGACTACGATGATGATATGGACGGTGTTGAGGTGTTGGAAGCCATCGCAGAGGGGGTCAGCGTCGATGAACTTGCGGCCGATGAAGGCACAAGCTCTCTCAAGGACCTCATACCGTACAATGGTGTCTTGAACTTGGAGGGCCTTCACAGGCCTCTGTTGTCTGTGCAGGTAAATACTTGTTTAACTTTTTGCTGTTTGTCCATTAAATTGATATTTGCTAGGTGACAGCATAATTCTGCATATATTGTCTGCTTTCCACAAAGTCAGATCTCTGTCCAAATTCCATTCAATCACTCTCTTATTTCCTGCAATTTTCTACCAATTGAGTATTTATACTGTATCTAATTAGCTAGGTAATCATCCTCGCATGCTCATAAGCAGATTGGGATGATTATTTTTTTTTAGTCATAAGCTACATTTGACAATGGCTTTGTAGAAGAAGATGAAATAAGGAAAATCAAGTTTCTTTGGAACAAAAATGTGATAGATGTCATATAGTAATATTTTCTTCATAAAATGTACTTGTGGTGTCACTTAAAAGGAGGACAACTGGTGACCCTTCTGAATTTGATGGAGTACCAAATGGAATAAAATGTTATTGAAGTTACAGCTGTTTAATTTTATCTGTCCCGACAGTGCATACATTAATCTCATACATTAATTTCATAATCAAAACATTTGTTCAAAGATACGGTGTAGGTTTGCCAAGAATTTGAGATTGAATCTCATTTCTATAGCTGAAACATTCATCCAGAGCCAGAGGGAAGTAACTACTTGATGGTTCTGGCCTTTTCACTAAATTCGTATCACGTGATTAGACCCTGTAGTTTCTCATACCAACCAATGACCCACCTGCATTTATTTTGGGTTTTCTCCATTTTCGAACGACATAAGCCCAATTTGAAGAACACATGAACTGCTGCAAGATAAAATAAGATAATTTCTTGCACATTTCTTTCTACGATATTTTAATGGGGTTGGAACCCGAAGAAAAGTAGTCCTTGTCCTAGGCCTTTACTTTATTCTTTTTGGTCCGTTGGATGCAAATCGATTGTCAACATCACCGTCTATTTTGGATTCACTTTTCAACTGTTTATCTTGATAATGATTTTGTCCGATAGTTAACGAAGTTGAAAGGTGGACTGGCAATGGGGTGCGCGTTCAACCACTCCATTCTTGATGGAACCTCCACCTGGCATTTCATGAGCTCATGGGCCCAAATCTGTAGAGGGTCCAACTCCGTCTCTGTTCCACCGTTTCTCGAGCGGACCAAAGCCCGAAACACCCGCGTGAAGCTGGACCTCTCTCTCCCACCCAACCCACTCGCTTCATCCAACGGTGATGCCAAGGTAGGCCCGCAACTGAGGGAGAAACTCTTCAGGTTTTCCGAAGCTGCCATCGACAAGATCAAGTCAAAAGTCAACTCTAACCCACCATCCGACGGCTCTAAACAATTCTCAACTTTTCAATCTCTAGCTGGCCACATTTGGCAGCACGTAACCCAAGCGCGTAATCTTAAACCTGAAGACTACTCAGTTTTCACTGTCTTTGCAGATTGTCGTAAAAGGGTTGATCCTCCCATGCCAGAATGTTACTTTGGCAACCTGATTCAAGCCATCTTCACCGTCACGGCAGCCGGGTTATTGCTGGTGAACCCACCGGAATTCGGTGCATCAATGGTAAAAAAAGCTATAGAAGCACACAATGCTAAGGCCATCGATGAACGTAACAAGGAGTGGGAAGCTGCACCCAAGATTTTCCAGTTCAAGGATGCTGGTGTCAACTGCCTGGCTGTTGGGAGCTCTCCCAGGTTTAAGGTTTACGATGTGGATTTCGGGTGGGGAAAGCCAGAAGGGGTGAGAAGTGGTTCCAACAACAGGTTTGATGGGATGGTGTATTTGTATCAAGGGAAGAGCGGTGGCAGGAGCATTGACGTGGAGATCACCTTGGAAGCTGGAGCCCTGGAGATGTTAGAGAAAGATAAGGAGTTTCTCATGGAAGTCTAGTTTTAACGAATTGATATATGAAGAGGGTGCTATTTTCACATTTATTTTGATCATATGAAAACTTTGTTGATTGAAATGAATTAATCGATATAAATGTGAAAATAGTTTGCATTGCACCCTTTGAATAAGAACCGGAAGTGTTTAAAAATATTGTAAAATGAAGGCGACATTATGCTATCGCTACTCAACTTTATGTTGGTTTTTTCGTTTTGTTTTCACGGTGAGCAGCTGCTTTGACTTGTTAGTCAGTTAAGGGTTTGCCTTTGGCTTTGGATCGATTCTCTGTTGTTAATGCTGTGGCTTTATGGACTTAATTGATTTTCAACTAAGAGCACTGAATATGAGATATAGAAGTAGTTGGGATTCTCTCGTTTGGCAATGTTGTTGAAATCATACAACACTTGGGATTCAGGACTATATAAATATATCATGTCGGAACAGTAGTCTCATGTGTGCTCTCCTGAAGGAATATCGAACTCCCTTTTAGCGATTCAATTGGAGTAGTTGGACTAAACTGTTTATACTTAAGTTGTGGTAACAAATAGAATTTAAGACAATAGACGTTGTCAAACCAAAACAAACAGGGGGAGTAGCAGAACCTGTGCATGGCATGTGTATGGCAAATCTTGTAAAAAGACGTGTTATTAGTTGAGGATATCAAAACACCAAGGGAAAGGTGATCGGATATAAATAAACTGACAATTTTGGCTTTTCCTTGCTATTATTCGCACCAGGTCACGGTAAAATGAGCGTCGGCATTAGCTAATTTTTTTAAATGCATTAAATTGACTTAGAAAAATGTGCTCTTAAAATCGTTTGAGAAAAAGATAATATGTCAAATTAAAATTAGAGGATGTCCTTTATCACGTTATTGAAAAAAAAATGCTAGCTATGGCCAAGCCCTCCATGAATTGCAGCCAATCTCCACCGTATAAAGGCTCCGATATCATTTATTAGATCTACCTGCATACAGCTTCCCACCTGTTGCCAGTGCAGCATGTCCATGTGGGTGTATTGATAGTAGTCAATCTCATTAATCTTATCCACCTTTTCCTTTTACCAGATTGGCACAAGGACTGAAGATGTGCTACCAAAAAGGCAGCTGTTTCTGTTTAGCTACCTGTTTAATCTCAACCTTCGTCCTTGTCCTACATGTAAAAATTACAACATCTGTTGCACAAAATTAAAATTAATTCGATGACTATCATTAGACTTTCTCATTGTGAATTGGAAGTGGAACTTAATCAAATGAGAGGCTTGGACCAGAATTATCTATGCTGAGACTGATTGTCGAGGCACAGCCGCACAGCTTATAAAAGATTGGCTGAGAAGCAGCAAAAGGCAAAGGCTAGCTTAGGCAATAATTCAACTTATTAAACCGGCCATTCAAGACCACTGCTTATGGATCGGGTGGAGAAGAAGGGACAAGACACATAACTGTCCCTTCCTCTTGTTGGACGATAAAGTCAGCTAACCAATTGAAAAAAAGCTGATCCTTGAACTAATTTCGGCTATTATTTTCCTTGGAACGAATGGGAATCCAACAATAACATGAACATGAGCCATTTATTGTACGTCAAACCAGCACTATAATCTGCAGCTTGAATTAAATGGCCTACATTATGGTTTGTACTTTATACTAACCGAATGATTAATAAAAAGGCGGCCATGAATTAATCATCATCCTTACAGAAAAGAATTGACACAAGACTCACACTTTGACAAACTAGCACCAAAATTTGGCATTGATACATCTCTTTGTTTTTCTTTCCTTTGGCTCCTTTCTCTACGCCAAGGCATTAGGGAAACAGAGAGCTACCGGTTCTCATTCTTTGCCTGATGTTATAGTAGGCTTCGACTGGTAGGGGCCTAACACTTTGTTGTTACTATTATTGGTTTCACTACAAGAGAATGGAAAATTATGTGCAGTTTTTTAACGATATTTTATTTATAAACGTAACTAATTTTCGTATTCTTATGAAGATTGTGATATTAGCGACATTTATACATAAAATGTCACTATATGAAATAGTTTGAGAGGCATTTTTCTTTTGTAAACGCCACTATCTTACAAAATTTAATGGCATTTATTTTAATAAACGTTGCAAAATTTTCCCAAAATACCCCGCCCCTTCTCTTTCACGCGAACATTTCCCCTTTCTCAAATTTCCCTCGTCTTCTCTCTTTCTCAAATCCCATTCTCCTTTCTTCTTTCTGTCGCTTCGTCGTCCGGATATCAATCTTCTTGTATTGAGCTATTTGTTTTGTCAAACCTTGAAATCTGATAGTTGGTTTATCTTATATCATTCTTATATTTAATTTCACAGTTTACTTGTGGTCATAGATGAAACTGCGTTTCTAGGTCATCTTGACATGCCAAAATGCTGCCTTTTTCGATTCATAACCTGAGTTGTTCTATCAATCATATTCTTCTGGTGGAGTAGAGGTTGATGGCGTTGAAAAGTTCGGGATTGAAGTTTTTTGTGGCGATTAGAACTTAGTTAAAGAGAGCTATGAGGAGTGGCTTGAAAGAGAAGATGCCGTGGTTTATTCAAGGGATTTGGCAAGGATCTCATCTGAGTTTCTGGTGCTGAGCAGGTTTCTTCACTATTTCCTCTTCTTTTTTTTGTTTTTTAGGTCAAATGATAGTATGATCAAGGTCTTTTTTTGGTCTTTGTAAGGTCGTTACGTAATATAGTGTATTGAACATTATACTGATTTTGGAAGCTTTTGCAACTGAGAAGGCCCTTGCAGCTGCTTTCATTTCTAATTGTAGTGCCCACAACTTTCATTTGAAAGCTCTAGTTGGGCTTGAAAAAGCGAATATCAAGATAGATTCTTATAGTGGTTGCCATAAAAATCGCGATGAAAGAGGTGAGATTTTGCTTTCGTATGCTTTTGATGTTTATACTGATATGCAGTCTGATGTTAAACTGTTAAATGTTATATTTTTCTAATTTGAGCACTTCCTATAGGTAAACTACAAGTGATCCGTGTCTTTTTTTTTTTTTTAATTTTAGTTTAAATACTTGACTGCATTTTTGAGGTTACCAGTTCTCTATTCATGAGGTTTCCTTTTATATCTCTTACCTGGGTAAATCAAACTGGAAATCCACAGTGCACTACTCTTATAATGATTATGGTGGTTTGGCTAGTTAACTGACTGTAAATGTAATAAATAAACATGAAAATTAAATGACAAGAAGATTAATACAGAAACCAAACTCAGATAAATGAACAAGCAAACTAAAACCCAAAATTAATGGGGTAGTAAAGCAGTAGCATGAAAATAAATCAAACAAAAATTTAAATCTCTTGATTCAAGTAACAAGATGCTTCCTAGGTGAATGCTGAACCCAATAGCAACCTTGTACCATCCTTATCAACCCCCCAACAGTCATGAAAAATCAAAGAAACAACAACCTAAAGCAAACATCAAAATTTGAAAATTGGTTTTGGACAGCATCTGATTAAAATTTGGTTTCCACTCTCATTTGATAGTATTTGATCTCCAAATTTTTTGTGGAAGTAAGTAACTAATATGTGAACATGCACATAAATTTTCAAGAGCATTGGAAATCATTTAGTACTTAAAATTTATCCAAAACCGTAAACAGAATATGGAACTTCAGCTTGGAAAAGAGAACGGCTTTTACTAAACCTTAGATCTTGCTCAAAATATATGGAATTTTGCTCTCAAATTTTATAGAAGCTTTGATAACTCATAGATGAACAAGTACTAAAAAGCTTGAAACAAATTGAATTGAACTTGAAAAGTAACAAAAACCGAAACAAAATAAAATTCAAAAACAGAACAACATTCTGGAAATAGCTTTTAAAAAAAGATTAAATTTGCTAGCTCAATTACAACTATTTGATCAAGAGGAAGCATTGTAATTCAAGCTAACAAATAGAGGAACAACATATAAAAAGCTCATGATTTGTTGAAATTGAAATCAACTTGAAAATTAATTAAACAGCAGCTAACATCAAACCTGGAAACTCAAAAACTGTGTTGAATACAAACTGAAATTGCAAGCTCAGTGGAAAATGTTTGCTTAAAAGAACTAAAGTAAAGCTAAATAACAAGTAAAGGAATGTAAAAGAAACTTAAAATAAATTTATAGCAAAAGGAAAAACAAAGAACAAAGACTGAACAGCCAAAAACATAGAAGCTATGGAACTGCCAGCACTTGAAGTTTCAGCCAGAAAAAAATGCCGAGTCATGCATGAAGAGGGAGCTCTACTATAGCTGATTGAGAGTATTATTTGTTCAACTTGGAGTAAGTGTTCTTAATCTAAATTTGTGCAAGAAATATTGTAACATATGGGGACTTTTTGTAGTATGCTGCCTTAGACTTTTTTAGAGGTCAAAAAATGGCAGCTTGCCGCTATAGTTGGGACTGCAGGATTTGAAAAGTCTTCTCTCTTGGCTTCAGTTCTTGGTAAGATGCACACAATATCAGGGAAGGTATGCAGCCTGAGAACGAAGTTGTGTCTTTCCCCACTTCATTATATATGCATTTTGCTTTGGTTTTGTTGATTAAAATGTTTGCATTTAATGCTAGTTGGTTGTTCATGCAATTTTTTCTAGACCAAGGTTAGCTGTTACACGAGCTTTGGTGAATTGTGCTTTTTTTCTCATTTGTTTAAAATTTCTTTCGGGACTCGTCTTGAAATACTAATGGACCACTTTATTTATCCTTGTGGTCTTCTGAGAATTGGATATCTCTAGTCAAGTTTCACTTTTTGATTGTTTAAGATGCAACAACATCATCATAAGAATGCAATAGAATAATGAATGACTGTTAAATACAATTGTTGCTGCTTACATGAGAGGTTAAGCTGTGGGACAACTGCATATGTAACTCAAACATCTTGTATTCAGAATGGGACAATTCAGGAGAACATACTATTTGGTTTGGCAATGAACAGGGAAAAATATAAGGGGGGTTATAAGGGTTTATTATTAGGAGAAAGACTTGGAAATGATGGAGTTTGGTGATCAGACTGAAATTGGAGAATGTGGAATTAACCTCAGTTGGGGCCGGAAGCTACAAGTACAACTAGCTAGAGCTATTTACCAGGATTGTGACATCTACCTTCATGATGACGTTTTTAGTGTTATTGATGCTCATACAGGGACAGACATATTTAAGGTGACATTTGTGTCTGGTCATTGCAAGTTTTGCAATTGTTGAAAAGAAATGATCAATCCTTCGATTTTATAATTTGTGAGAATGCACTAGCTAGCTTGTCATGCAGAAGCAGAATTTACATATCATTAATAGATAAGGAGCCAAAAAGTCCCCATATGTTACAATTTTTACTCTTTAGGCCTCTAAGATTACATATAACTCGTCAATGGCAAATTTATTTACTCTGATTCATTTCTATACACTTGTTCATGTGAAAGGCTTATACACTGAATGATTGATAATTCCATAATAATGTTCTTTGCTTTCTCATGCCAAGTATTTTTTAAGTGTGGTTGTTACTATGTTTGGAAAAAAAAAATGGCTTTTGTATTTAAATATTTATAATATTCAGTTTATGAAATTTAAATTTATTTTTATTTCTTTCAATAAAATTTTTATTTTATTATAGTAGTATATATTGAAAGAAATAAAAAAAATAAATTTCTTACTTTAGTGGTATTTGTAGTAAAAAATATCATTAAATTACAAAATTAACAGTATTTATGTTCAAAAATATTATTAAATTTAGTAATTTTTTTTAATACAAACAAGTTAATTTCTATAATTTAACAGTATTTATGAGTAAAAATGCCTCTAAATTTAGTGGTGATTTCTTAACATAGATATAATTAATGCTCCTAACGATATTTTTAACAACCACAATGAAATATTTAACAACATTTTATAAATGTCGTTAAATATATATAAAAATATAAAATCACTAAAGACTTTTTCTCTTGTGGTGTTTCAATTGAAATCTTCACAAATGTCATTATACTTTGTTCAACTTAATTTACTTGCCAAACCATTTCACTCAACTCAAAAAAAAAAATCGATGAGATTGTTATAACGAGTAAGTCTAAAAATTAACTCATTAGATATAAAACCAGAAGTCATTACTATTTTTTTTTTCATGTGTGATTGATAATCTAAGTAAGCCTATTCTTTTTATGTATATCAAAGTGAGTCTATCATTTCTAAAAATTTTAAATAAGTGTATTCTTGTTAAAAAAATCATAAACTTGATTAAGAATATTTCAATTAAGGTTATAGCACCCGCAATAAAAAAATCTTAAACTTCACTAAGGATATTTTTATTTAAGGTTATAGCACTCACGATACTCATAAATTGACATTCTTAAATTACACAAATTGATATTTTTAAATTATTCTTTTAACCTTAATTCGATGATCTATTATTCTTAATTAATTTTTATTATTTTTGTTTAACACCTTGCTTCACCCTATCTTCACATTAAGTAACAAATCTGTTTGCTCGAAAACTCGTCATCAAATTTATTAAATATTTTTTACAAAAAGAGATATATTATAATATACATAATCAATTTCATAATAATAAAATATAATAATCAAATACAAAATTTGATATATTGTTCTAATTTTAATTTTTATCTCAAATTATAAATAAATAAAAATTCTTTTATTGAGCTCAATGTCTAAATCCTCCGAGTCTTTATCGAATTTAGAAAAAAAATTATCTTATCTAAAATTTTTGAAGAAAATTAGACCAGGTCACAAAATCCTTACCCCTTTCTTTATATTCGTCTCATGCCGTTATAACAAACCAGCCTTTCCTTCCCGGACCACCAACGCTACCTTTAATTTCCTAACAAGCGGCTCCTTTCAGTTGCCGACAGATTCCGAGCACCAACCTTCCTTTTTATTCTCCACCCTTCTAGCAAGTCAGATTTTCTATAGGGCCAATGGTAGTTTCGGGACTATAGCGAGAATACGGTTTCGGCTGTGTCACGAAACAACTATCGTGTTTGGTCGAGAACTTGGTTTTTTTTTTCTTGTGCTGCTCTTTCCTTCTCCCCTAAAATATTTTTACCGAAGCTAGAAGAAAACCTCACTATTAATTTTTTTCTTTTTCTTTTTTTTTTGTTCCTCCCACCTTTGGCCGATGCTGATTGTGCTTTTATGGAGACCTGTATATTCAGTTGGGTTATGTCTCTAAAACAGATAGGAGTTTGTATTATGTTTAAGAATTTCACCGTTTAAGAGGTTCAATCCAGAAACAATTTTATTACTAAAGAAATTTGATCCAAATCTTTTCCAGAGTTTTATCAAGACCATTTTTCTTTTAAAATTTTAAAATTTTTAACTTTTTCTTAAAATTCTTTTCAAAGTAACAAAAATAAAAAATAAAACAATTTATAGATCCTACACTTCAATGGGCTTATGCCAAAATCAATGTCCTAATGAATACTTCAATTGGGGCTTCAAAGTCCGAATCAAGCCCACAACTCGAATAATGCTATAAGACTTAAAAATGTTGATAGAAAAATTGGAACGAAATAAGCCAGACAAATGAGAGGTCCACAGATATTTTATATTCCAAAAAATTTTTAGCTAGAATGCAAACATCTCTAGAAGTGAACAAAAGAAATAAAGAGGATTCACATTCACCATCCCAAAAGTCGGCATTCCTCCACTGAAATGGAACTTGATATGAAAATGTTGTACAATTACTCTTGCTGACTACAGACAATTGCAAGAACTAATTTACAGTCATTTAACCAAAATTTAGAAGAAAAAAAAGGGACAAAAAGCTGTGTTTCTTTCTCCATTTATATTTTTCGAGGAGGTTTATTCCCTTACTCTGAGGCTTCTGTAATATTAATGGATAACTCAATCATTCTCACTTCATGGGATTACGTGACTCGTTTTCAGGTTTCTGAGATGGAGGCATCGCAGCGGCAGTTTCTTTGGGAGTAGCTGTCACCAATTTACAAACAAAACATCACAGTGAGAAAGGGAGAGGAAAGAGAGAGAAAGAAGAAGAAAAAGAACCAACCTTCATGTTGATTTTGGAATTCTAACTGGCTTTCTCCAGGGGAGGCAGTCTGGCCCTGCTGTTGAGATGCTGAAGCTTTTAGCTGCTCTTGTGCGATCTTTAGGTACTCTTCACTAGTATAAGCCTCATTCACAGATGAAGTACCATCTGCATGAAGAAGACGAATCTCCTGGTTCATTAAATTTCTTTGAAAGATAAAAATGGAATGGTAAAAGGACCAAGGAAGATCCTTCTACTAAGCCATAAACAGCAGGATTGAACACTATTGGGTAGCATTTAGTGCATGTTACAGGGTAACAGATCAAGTAATAATATAAATGAGATTCAAAGGAAAAATCTCATGAAGGATTAGAACCCTAAGGCAAATTCATGCCACTAATAACCTTACATATAAGAATATGAAGCACTCACTGGGGTCAGCCTTGGTACCAGATTCCTCAGTGCTGGCAACTGATAAAGGGGTTGGGGTAGAGTTACTTAGATAGGGACTGTTTCTATTCAGTGTATTTTGTGTTGAACTTGACATCTCATCAAGACCAATCTCCCGCTCAAGGGTGCTCTTGAATTCCCTTGAAACTTCCTTCACAGAAGAAATAATGAAAGGCGAAGAATTCAGAAGGGCAAAGCTATCACATGGTAAAGATATAAGTAAAACCAAAGAGTTCAGGCCCTACCTGAAGTTCTCTAATGGTGGGTTGAAATGCACGCAATGTTTTTCCCAGATTCCTAGCAACCTGCACTTTAGTAGGCCATTGAGATGCAAAAAGGATTTAACTTGAAAAGAATATTACCCTAACTATATAAGGTTCTGTTTAGTTGTTTGGTTCTCATATTTAGTACGTGGCTTTTGCATCCTCAAAATTGCTACAAAGTATAAGTGAATATTAAAAAGCAAAATCATATTCAAACTAAAAATGAATGTGTAGTTCAAATGTAACAAAATTTAAACATAATTATGTCATATAAAAGGAAAATCATGTATTTTGTACACAAATTTTCTATTTTTAATTATTTCAAATAAGTAGCAAAAGTAACAATAAAATGCAGCTTAAACAGTTAGTATCCAAACCTTGGCAAACTCTGAGGATAATCATTTAACTTCCATGAAGGCATCAAAATGATTGCTATGCAGTTGTAAATAAATTCTTGATGCATTCATAAGTAACACATTGCAACTTCCACTTAAAAGATCAGAGCAGCCAGGCACTGATTTGTCTTCTTTTAATGCCTTTATGGCACTTCAGACTTTGTGGATACAGCATATCAAATAATTGATTACTGACCTTTATCACAATACAAAAGGAAATGTTCAACCTAAGATTTGAATAACATGAAGTCTAATTGATAAATGTGATATATAGCAATATCAATATGTCTTTTAACTCTCCAGTCCCCACAAGTTAGATGCTTCTAGATATGGAGCCATTTAGTAAAATGTCAAGAGGGATTTCAGGTAAAGACATAACACTTGATCCTAACAATCTGGATCACTAAAGACACCTAAGAGCGCTCATCAGAAAGGCATAAGTTAGAATGAGCTCTGAAAGGACAAGGGAACTTAGAGTTTAAAGTAGGGTAAAACAATGGTCTATTTCTTTCCAGATAATGGGAAAGCCATGGGAGTCATAAAGTCAACAAAGATCATCAACTGAAATGCGTTGGGCTTAGGTTGTCACATAAAGAAAAGCTTTTCGCATCAAGTGCAATTGGGCATTGTCTTGTCAAAAGATACCACATTAAGTATGATAACAGCAGCAAGCAGTGAATTTCGGTCTGTTGATAGAACAAAATAAAACTTTCATCTCCATAACAAGGATTCATCAATGATCATTTTATCATCTAAGATTTTATAGAGCTGTCAATTAATTTAGATGGTCCAGTGGATTCTCATGTGAGAAATATCAAAAGATTCAAACACGTTTCCAAAACAAGAAACCACATAAATTTCAGGCAAAGTTAAGTTTTCTCTAGAAAATCCAACACTAGACCAGCTCACATTTTCAGGAACAATATTTTATCCACCCAACTGCTCTTAAGAAAAATTCTAACCGTCTAACACCATATCTTTCCCTGACTTATGTCAGACTTTATAGTATCTATTGCTGGTTGTTGCTTAACTCATTGGGGATTATTCATTACTTGAACCATTTATGAGAGACTAATATTTGAAAATAGTTGCCATGAGGCCTATGTTTCCAAAGCTTAGAACTACCTAAATCCAATACCCGCATGAAAATACATGAAATTGCAAAATAACACATACATATGAAGGAAAAAAACAGTCTGGAAAATCATCAAATATTACAAGCCACAAAAGGAGCAAGTGATGTGTTCGTGTTTATAATTGAAAGAACAAGTACATGTCAATAAACGGTCCCTAAGTATAAAGGTAGAACATACCTCAGCCAGACCCTTGGGACCAAACACCAACAAAGCAACTACCCCAATAACCAGAGCCTCAGGAGCTCCAACCCCAAATAGAGATGCATGAACCACCTTAACTTTACTTCTTCTGATCTTTTCTGAACCACCACCATTTCATACAAAAAAAAAAAGCAGAATTAAGAATAAAAAATAAATTAACTTTAAAGGAAAAAAAAGTACAGCTTAAAAAGGAAACCCGCATTAGGAAAAACAACAAAAGGTACCTAATTTAACAGATTTTGGGGAGATTGAAATGCTCAGATGCTTTAGACCACTCCATTGAGAAAAAAGTGATGGACCCAACTGAGGAAACCACTTGTATAAACGGAAAGTCGAGGCTTTGGAACATGAAACCAAAGGAGACAAGGAGCAGTTAGTTGATTTCGAGCTAACAGAAGATGTGAACAAGAATGCGGCAGTTGAAACTGTTGAGGCCATGACCATGCCTGTGGTCATTTGAAGAGGTAATTTTACTCTGAGTTTTACGAGAGCTTAGATTTTTCGAGGTATAGAGACAGTGGGGGGGACCAAAGATTATCTCGAACCGGAAGATGTCCAAAAATGCAACAGGTGGAAAATGATTGTCGAGAAGATTACAGCAAAATTTTCTTTCAGAGCCCAGCTCGGTTGATTTTATTCTAGGCTAAAGGCCTGCCAATACTGCTCGGATTTCATGGTTGGGCTGAGGCGTCACTCTCTTGATCAGCCATGAGTCCTGGGCTCGATTAGGGCAGTCACAGGCTCGCACATCATGTTTACCCAAATACTTGGGCGTTTCCACGATGATTAATGAAAATGAGTTACATGACTAAACATGAGCTGATGTCTGCAGGCGTGTTCCCTAAAGTAGTACTCGGGGAACTGTTCGATGCTAATCTCTTTTTTGACTTTCATATAATACTTCCATTTCAGTTACATGTACCAATGTGCTTGGCCCCTTCCTTCAATCGAATATTGCTCTCTCTTTCTCAGCTTCGTTTTTTTGTTTTCAATAATTTTTTTTGTTCATCTTATTTTGGGTTCCAACAATCGTAATCTGATCACAAAAACGAAAAAAAAAATTGCTAAATTTTGCATTTATTTGTATCACTGCCTTATTTTAATCAAACATTATTCAATATAACTATACAAGGACGGAACTAGGCAGCGGTGAGGCGATCAACCTCAAAGTTCTTAAAATTTCCTTATATTTATATACAATTTAATTTTAGATTAGCTTAGATGAGTGAAAAATTATAACTTTTTCTTAAAAAATTAAATATAAGATTTTTGTCCCTCAAACTGGAAATTATGGTTCCATTATTTTTATTATATAAATGAAAGCAACATTATTGTATTCAATTTCACAGAGATTGCTCGTTCTTTAATATTCAAACTTGGAAATTTTAAATAAAAAAATTTCCACAAAACTTGATTGAATACTTTTGAACAGTTAGTCAAAAATCCTCCTAAAGATGAAAAAAAAAATCGGAGTGGTAAAACATTTTGAACAGCTCAAGTTTAATTTATGATCTATTCAATCGAAAACATACTCTGATTTGAGTTATTAAATTCATAATCTAGTGTGATGATAGATGTTATGAAATTGAGTTTTGAAAGATGAAATGTATTGCGTAATGTTATCGAATGACATACATAATAAATGTTTATTAAAAATAAATAAATTTAATTTTATTTATTTATTTAAAAAATTCAACGAATCATTCCATTCCAACTTCATAAGAACGCCATATGTATACGATGAGGGATGAAGCATACGGTGTGCGTTTGGTGACAAAGCATCCCTGCGTATATCTGTGAGATGGCCACTTCCACCCCACCCCCTCGCATTTATATTTTGTGAGAAAGAAATATGCCTGGTGGAATTTTTGCAATATATGGGATGGTTTGGGATTTTATTATTTATAACTTCATAAAATTTGGATCAAACCTTCACCTACTTGATAGCTTCAACATGTGGTGTGCCGGTTTAGCTTTTGCCTTGTAGGACCATAGCCACACTCAGCCACACCCATTTGGGGTCAGTTCCTTAAATATCCACCGCTTCTACCCTCCATCTGGACCCACTCCCCTAATGAAGAAACTTTTTCTTTTAATGCCTGCATTTGCTTAATGAGTTATTATATAAAATTAAGATGTATATAACAAAGGTTAGTCTAATAGTGATAAAAAAATTTTCTTTATTCAATTAAAGTCCGATTATAAAGAAACAAATATTAAAAAAAATTAAATCTTAAACTAAATTGATATGAAAACATATAGTTTTTAATACTATTTTAAATAAAAATTAAGTTTAGATAAAATCTAAAAATAAAATCAAGATGCATATGATTTCCTAAAACCAACTTTAATTTTCTTTGAATTGTAGATAGTGGTAAATCATCTTATGTTACTTTTGCATGCAACAATCTTGCTTTACCTTTTTGATGAGCTACACGAGTGGGAAGTAGAAAAGTGAATCATCATAATTTGGAACTTTATAACCCCATTATCAGAAAAATAAAAAAGATGCATGAAAAAGAACAAAGGCAAACATGCATGATTTAAAAAGTATCCCTCCTCCAAAAAGATTATAAAGATTAGAAGTTGATATATGAATCATTGCCTTATGCATTCCAACTTTTCCCATCACTATCATCTTCTAGTCTTGCAGAGGTAAAGGCAATGAAATCTATGTAAAAAGTTAGAATCACAAAAAAAAAAAAAAAAAAGGTTAATAAATGGTAAAGATCAAACAAATTTTTTTCTTGTTTAACTCCTATCAAGAACTATTTTATTTTTTAAATTAAAATTTATTTTAAAAATAATGTTAGAAATCTAAATTTTTAACTTTTTTTAGATTGAGTCGACAATATATTTTATAAAACAAAAGGAGAAGGATTTTATTTGATGATAAGACAATAGTAATAAAGAAGAAAAAAGAGATGAAAGAAAAAGGTGGAATGGGAAAAAGGAGCCAAAAGATAATGGGGGTTGTGATATCATTATCAAAGAGGAAAATGACAACGGGGTAAAGAGAGAATAGTAACCAAGAACCAACCATAATCCCAACAAGTGGATGAGCACACGTGCACAACTTTGACAAAAGAGTTCCCATTGCTCCAATAAAAGTAACGGAGTTCCACTAAAACAACAAAAGAATGAATGAGAAAACAAAAAACTGAAACAAAAGTAACGGAATTCCATTTTTTTTTTCCTCTTTTGCTTATGAATAAAAAATACCCCTCGGAACTTAACACAATTTAGCGGCTTGTCTTTGCTTTTGTTTTGTTTTGTTTTTTTTTTTTTTCTATTTTCATGTAAGTTGTACTAACACAATAATTTATACATTATACTTTTTTTTAATTGAAATTTGGTTTCGTTCAATCAAAATTTTAATAAGTAAATATAGATAATAGCTAAATTGAAATTGATGAATTGGGTATTTACTATTTGTATATTTTTTTTGACAAAATGGATAGGGTAATTTGAAAATAAGTTGTTATTGTTTTTGGAGAGCATTTATTTTATAATTTTATAATTATTTAATTATAATAAAAAATTATATATAAACTTATTATATATAAATATAAATTTCATTTAAAATTTATGTATTATAAATTAATTATATTAAAATTATTATAAATAATATGCTCACTAATTTTATTAACAAGTTAGCTCACAAAGGCCAGGTGAGGTGAAAGACCGAAAGAAATGCAGTCACGAGAGTCTTGCTTGGAAGCTTTGGCTGCAGATAGATGACAAATAAAGTGGCATCATGGAAACATATTAAAGAGGGGAAGGGCAATCTCGTCAAACTAATCAGCTACCCAAAAATATGCGAAGCATTTTATCCTTTTCTTCGGCCAAAACTTCCGTGTGACTTTAATTATTGTTGAGCTCTTCTTACTATTATTTGTTTGACCTTAAAACAGAAACTATATTTTTTATTATTATAATATTTACAAAATCATATTACAATACAAATACAATATAACAATTAGAGAGAGTGAAGATAGAAAGCTGTTTCTTGTTCACTCTCTCCTCTTTATTTTGATATTAAGATTAAGTATATAATTGATGCATAAAATTATAATAAGAGAAAATAAAATGAATTATAAATATAATTAGATTAAATAGTTTTATTTTATTTTATATTTGATATATGTAAAAATTAAAATAAGATAATTTATTTATTAATTAATTTTTTTAAATTTATATAATTTAAATTATTAATATAATTTTTAAAATATAATAAAATATATAAATTTAATTCCATGAATTAAAAATAAATTTTTTTATATTGAGAAGATTAAATCATCATATACCAAAAGAATAATAATCCTCCTTATAATTTTATCATTTTAATTAGATATAAACTAAATATAATATAAAATTATTATCATACTATTTTATCTATAATCTTATGTATCAAATATGACTTTTGGTATGTTATAATATAAACTCTTATACAAGAAGAAAAAAATGATGTTAATGAAAAAAATATTATTTTATAAATTATTGATCAAAATTTTAAATTTTACAATAAAATTAAAAATGATCATGTGTTATTTTTATTATATTAACTTATTATTTTTAAACACATTTTGATATATATAGGAAAATGCTTTAAAAAAGTTCATAAATATAAAAAATAAATTTTTAAATGAAATACTTATAGACTTTAAATTGTCATACACAAAAGCACAAAAAAGAAAAGAAACTAATAATCTTATAGCAAAATAAAATTTTATAAAATAATAAAAAATAAAGAGCATAATTAACTTAACTAAAATTTCCATCTCATACTTTAATTACATTTGAGCCCAAAATTTAAAACTCCCTTTGGTATATGTGTAATTTGTTTACTTTTTCTTATAAAAATAAAAAATAAATAACAAAAACAAAATATTATCAAATGAAAATGATATTTTTATTTTCAACAACTAAAAAAATGAATGATATATTCATTTTTGTAGTAGGTTGGAATTTCTTTCATTCACTAACTTCTCACGTGAGTCCACAAATTGCACATGAAAAGAAAAATAGTTTTCTTTTTCATTATAAAAATAACAAAATATAAATAACAACAAATGAAAAAAATAAATAAAACCAGTGGGTCCCAATCATCTTTAAGATGACGTGGCAATATGCAAAATGGACGAAAACTGGAGGGGAGCTGAACCGGAAAGAAAAAAGGGCATATAGAGCTGATCTGAATGAATTGATTTAAACAAAAAATAATAATAATAATAAAGGGAAGAAAGTCACATTTTCAACTTGACAATTTTTAATTTCTTTTATTTCACTCCTGTTGTCTTCAAATCGTTGTTGAGATTTGTTGAATCATGGGAGTTAAAAGAGATTCTAAGTTACATGAAGCTGATGTTATTTGCGCATCGTTTTAAGCTTAGAAATCGAATATGAGAAACGTAAACGACAGCGTCGAGACCGTCAACGCCGCTGCCTCAGCCATCGTGTCCGCCGAGTCCAGAGTCCAGCCTACCACCGTTCAGGTACTTGTTTATATATGTGAATAAAAATCAGAACATCCACTTTTATTACGAGTACTACTTAAAAAAAAATAAATTCTTTTGCTATTTTTAAAACGAGGTCTTTTTTTTGTTGTTTGTTTTCTGATTGATTACCGAGAAAAGTACTGGAAAATTCGGGATGTTCTGATTACTTAAGCTCTGTTTTGAATTAAGAATCTCTGGAGGGTAGAAGAGAAGAGAGCAGAAAGTGGAGTTTTGGAAATTTTCTTGATCGCGTTCTTTGCTTGCTTTTTTTATGGTGAAAAGTTTGAAATTTTGTTTCGTGATTTGTTTTCAGTATTGAACTCCTTTTTTTTTTTTTTCTTCATTCTTTGTTTGGCTGCCGAGAAACCGAGGGAAAAGTAAAAGGAGTTGAAATTCGGATCTTGAGTTTTAAATTGCTTTTAATCTTAGCAAACAAGTCAATTAGCTGAGCTAGGCTTTGTCAAGGTTCCGGTTTTACTCTTGGGTTTTCATCCTTCTTAAGAATAAGCAAAAAACGAAATATCTTAACATTGGAATTTGAATTACAAAATTAAAAAAAAAAATCTAAAAATATCGCTTTACACATGTACTTTTAAGGCGCTGATTTGAGTTGAGAAAGTTTAGGTTTCTTTTTTCTTTTTAAGTAAAAAAGTAAAATTTCTGGTAGTTTATACTTCTGCTATTCCTTCATGATTTGGGTGATGGGAGCAGCTTTTCTATTCATTCTAGTGTCTTTTGTGGAAGAATTCTCTGATTTCAGGCTAGGGTGAATTAGAGCAATTTTTTTTTTCTTTTTAAAATAAGATATTAGGTTATGGTGGAAAAATATTAAAAGAAATGGAACTTAATCGTTTGAATGGTTTACATTTTATTGAGATGCCTGTGTAAACATATTCTGGGAAGAATGAAATTTGATTTACCAAAATAGTTGACCTGGCTCGTATTCTTCTTCGATTAAAAGTAATTCTAAAAAAAGTGTGTAATATGCAGTTTAATATGTCATCTTCCTTAGAATTCTGAAACAGTAATTAAGTACATTAATTGCTTGCTCACTTTGCATTTTGACAATGGTTTTGGGTTGATTTAAATGGTGGATGCTGTCAAAAAACACACAAATCCAGACTTGTTTTATTGTTTATGGTGTTTGTGTGTGAATTTTGTGCTAGTGTGATGGAACTCTTTTTTCATGTATATCACATTGTACGTGCAAAATTACCAAAGCAATATGAAAAACCAGAGTTTATTAAACATATTGCAACATTGAGATTATGCCTCCTGGCATAGAAAATTTTATCAACTTTTGATGTTGAAATTTGTCATCCTGATTTACTTATTATCATGTTTTGATAACAGACAGAGGGAAATGCTATTTTAGAGTCTGGATAAATGCCATTAAATGTGAAGTGCACTCTTGCTTTTATTTCAACCTATATGTTTATTTCTAGACCTTGAAATTTTTGTGTTGATAAAGTGTGTGGTCTATGGTATTCTACTATTCTCCAAAAAGTTTGCACGCGGCAGCATGAGAACAGATGCTTAATATTCGGTTTAAAATTTCAAATAAAATTATTCATGATTGCCCTAATTCATTACTTGAGGGGAGCTGAGGAGTAGAGACTGAAGATTATCTTCACCTTGCTCTTCATTTAGTCCTCCACCCCCATCTTATTCTTGTGGTTGAGAGTTGAAATAGATATGCCTATATTGCTCACTGCCTTGTATAGAATACTTGAGGATGAAAAACTAATTTTCTGTATAGAATACTAATTCACACTTTTCATTTAAATACAGAAGAAAAGATGGAGAAGCTGCTGGAGCCGTTACTGGTGCTTTGGATCTCACAGAAACAGTAAGCGAATTGGCCATGCTGTCCTTGTCCCTGAACCAGTGGTAACTGGAGCTGCAGTCTCAACTGCTGTAAATGCAAGTAATCCAACTGGCATTGTAATGCCCTTTATTGCCCCGCCCTCATCTCCTGCATCATTCCTCCAATCAGATCCTCCATCTGCCACCCAATCACCAGCTGGATTGCTATCCCTAACTACTCTATCAGTTAATGCCTACTCCCCCTGTGGACCTGCATCCATTTTTGCCGTAGGCCCTTATGCACATGAAACACAGTCAGTCACACCACCGGTGTTCTCTGCCTTGACAACTGAACCATCTACTGCTCCTTTCACACCCCCTCCTGAATCTGTTCAACTGACTACACCTTCCTCCCCTGAAGTACCATTTGCTCAGCTGTTGACATCTTCATTGGAACGTGCTCGGCGGAACAGTGGGATCAATCAGAAATTTGGATTATCCCATTATGAATTTCAGTCTTATCAAATATACCCTGCGAGCCCTGGTGGTAATCTCATATCACCTGGGTCAGCAATCTCTAATTCTGGCACATCCTCTCCTTTCCCTGATAGACGTCCAATCCTTGAGTTCCGCATGGGGGAGGCCCCCAAAATCTTAGGATTTGAACATTTTACTACTCGCAAATGGGGTTCAAGGCTGGGTTCTGGATCATTGACGCCAGATGGACTTGGGCAAGGTTCAAGACTGGGTTCTGGATGTGTGACTCCTGATGGTATGGGCTTGGGTTCAAGATTGGATTCGGGATCATTGACTCCTGATGGTTTGGGTCCAGCCTTACGAGATGGTTTTCTTGTGGAGAGTCAGATTTCTGAGGTAGCATTGCTTGCTAACCCAGAGAATGGACCTAAAAATGATGAAATTATAATTGATCACAGAGTCTCTTTTGAGTTGAGTGGTGAAGATGTTGCACGCTGTCTCGAAAACAAGTCATTGATATCAAGTAGAACCAAGTCAGAATATCCAAAGGAATTGGTTGCAGAGGGCAGGATAGAAAGCCATGGAATCATGAAGGATATAGAAAGTTCTTGTGAGCTGTTTATTGGGGAAACTTCCAACGAAACAGTAGAAAAAGCTTCAGGAGATGCTGAAGAGGAGCATTTTTATCAAAAGCATCGTTCTGTTACTCTTGGGTCAATTAAAGAGTTCAACTTTGACAATACGAAAGGAGAAGCTTCTGATAAGCCTGCCATCAGGTCCGAGTGGTGGGCCAATGAAAAGGTTGCTGGAAAGGAAGCTAGGCCTGGTAACAACTGGACTTTCTTCCCTATGCTGCAGCCAGAGGTGAGCTGACTTTGGGGCTATACAACTTAGTTTCACCTTGACGCATAAAATTGTGTAATAGATTTGCAACACCTAAGCTGACTGGCTTTCCAGTTGTTTGTCCTGAAGGTTGTACTTCCCCAGAGACGCAGCGTCAACAATCAACAGTCTGTATAGTTAGGTGTTGGACCGAAGGCTAGTTTTCAGAGGTCATAAGAGTCTTTATTCCTTATGACCTGAAAGAAGATCCAGTGAGGGAATGGTTCATAGGGATCAACAGTGTGGGTACTGATAATAGAGCATTTCTTTTAATATTCCTTTACCTGATGTTATACAAAAGAAAAAAAAAAGAGTAGTATTCACATATAGTGTTGTGTTATTGTTATGTTCTTCTAAATATGTAATAATGAGAAGGATGATTTCTTTTCTTATGCTAGTAAATTGCAGCTCATTTGATGATTTCTGTATTTGATATCTTGCTCTTGTTAGGCAACGACAATATGTCAGCTCCCTCTCAATAACATTCCACTACCCACTATATGCCTTGGTTCTACGTTTAATCAATCAGCTGCCAGTTGCTCATCAACAGCCAACTCAACTTGCTGTCTTGTTGCCATTGGATTTTGGATTAACTACACCATTCCGATGTACGAGTCTGCTTCGTATTAGAAGACAAATAAAAAAAGATAGAGATGAACCATATATTTCAATTGCTAATTCATTCTTGCTCCATCAGAAATTATCTTTTAGCGGCACCTGAAAACTGGTGCTACGTGTTAACCTTGCTTGGTTGTGTCAAGGTTTTTAGGAAGCGCTTGGTCATGTGCATCTAGATCTAGTTAGGCTGGTGCACAAAAAAATCTCTCTATTAGGAACTGCAAAAATTAGAAGGCTGGTCCACATTCTGTTGTGACGGTCAAGTAAGCCAGCTCAATAGGATTCTTGGGATTGAAAAGAAACATTGAAGAAAGAACATCACTTGCTCACTATAAATGAATATGAATCTTGAAGTGCTGTCAGAGAAAGAGGAAAGGGCTTTGGGGGGGGGGGGGGGTCGTCTTTTAACACAAGTTAATATTGATAGTCAAATGGCTAATGGCATATCTTTTTATGCTTATCGTCATTGCAGGTTAGCAGTAGAACTCTTAAATTTTGTTGGAAAATATCATCAGTTTGGAAGCTATAACAAAGCCCAAAAGCCAGTTCCAAGTTGCAGCTTAAGCAAGAATTTAATACATGAATCTAGAATTAACCAAAAGAATTTGCACCTGAAGCAGTCCTGCATAGCATTCAAGTCAATACGATTTTAATAGACAAATCTTTGTGGGGAATAGATGAGTAATAGAGTGAAGCTTTGGTAGATCATAAAATGATACCCATTTATGGTTGACGCCAGCATTTTTTATGCTGGCTGAGGATAAGCAGAATAATATTGGTTAGGTAGCAGCCGAGGCTAATGTCTCTGCCCAACAGAAATTGACTCTGCTTCTTCACAAATTGTAAGATCAGCGGGGGAATTTTGCGGCCTCACTTCTGCTCTGTTGCTTCTCTTATATCCTTCTGTTTTTTTTTAGTATCTGACTAATTGAGCAATGCTTGGTATTTGTCAAATTGAAACTTGATTTTTACAGTGAATCTGAAATCCAAACTTCCCATTGTATTGAGTTGGAACCAAATTCGTGCATCGACTAAGATGTTATATTTGCTATTTAACCATTTTAGCCTACTAAATTTCTGGTAATCTAAATTTAATGTTCTACTTAGGGTGATAAATTATCATTCATTTTTAAACTGGTATAATTTTATTTCTATACTTTTATGTTTGTTAAAAATATCAGAATTAAAAGTGCCTAAGGATGGCGTTATTTGCTGGGCCAACTAGCTTAGCACAAGTCATTTAAACCCTAGACTTGATTGTTTAGATTCAGTCCTACTAAAAAATATTTTATATTAATAAAAAATATAAATTTGTTATTATAAGTAATTTTTAATTGTAAAATATATTTGATAATATAAAATAGTTTAATAATAAACATAACTTAAATGGGTGCGGCGTGCTAAAGCTTATGTTTGCCAATCAAGCTTGGCTTGGTACGGTCTAGCCCAGAAATACTTTTAATAAAAAATTAATAGTAAATGAGTATTCAATAAAAAAAAATATAAAATTTTATAAAATATTTTAATTTTTAATTATTTTTTAAAAAATAAAAATTATAATAATAAAATTATATATGTTTAAAGATGAATGATAAACTCGATCAATCATCTTAAATAAAATAATAAACTTAACTTTTTTTTCCTTCTAAAAGATTTGAGTTTCAAGAGTCCTCTTAAAAGAAAAAAAAAATCTTTAAAAAATTTTGAAACATAAATGAAGAATAAAAGAGTTAATAGTATTTATAGTCCTTAAATTTTAATCCAAATTCTACTTTGATCATAAAATTTTTAAAAATTTTAATTAAATTCTTAATTACCTATTCATTTTGTTTATAAAATCGTCTAAATTGACGATAAATGCTAATTGGTATTATGTGATAACATTAGTTAATATTTTACATGACAAATGAGAAATTAAAATAGAATTCTCTTAAAATTTAAAGATCCAATATGAAATTATCTCAAAATTTATATATTTCATTCATGTATTATAAAAATATTAAATTTAAAATTATATTTATATTTTTTTGTTATAATATAGCTTATTAGATAAAATTTTATTTTAAATAAAAAATAGATATTCAAAACTTAAAATTAAGTTAAAATTTTTAAGTTCCTTTTTTAAAAATTTAATACATTTTAAAAATTTTTTTATTAAAAATACTATTTTACTCATAAGTCATAATAAAACATATTATTTTTGTGCAAAAAAATTTATTTTTTACAATATTAAATATCTTTTGTTTTTCGTTTTAAATTATTTTATAAAATACATTTTTTAAAAAGAGAAAAATAAAAATGTTTTAAATTATTTTTTATTTTATATGAATATAAAGATTTTATATTTTTAATAGATTAATAAATTTATTTTTAAAAAAGATATGAAAATTTTGCGTTATATTTTAACATGATATAGAGTTTTTAGTTAATTTTTCAAACCAATATAAAAATTTTTACTTAATTTTTTAAAATAATATGTAATTTTAACAAAATTATTTAAAATTTTTCAACTTAATTTTAAAAATCTATATTCTATTAAAAATATTAATTTTATGATAAATTATATCATAATAAAAATTAAATATAATTTTAAATTATAATGTTTTATAAAATATATTCAAAAAATATAAAAATCAAATTTTTCTTGAATTGTTTTTATCTTTTTCTTTATTTATTTTTATAAAATATATTTAAAAAAATAAAAAATAAAAGATATTTAATATTTTTATTATTATTTTTGTGTAAAATAATATTTTTAAAAGAAAATATTTTTGTTTATAAAATGATATTGAATTTTTAAAAAAAGAATTTGAAACTTTAGCCCCTAATTTACAGGTTCGTTGGAGCTTTGGGGATAGTTAAAAATCTTTGTTCCTTTGAAAACCCATTTGACTAATCAGACAATTCTCAGGAGCTCACTTTAATTTTCCCCTTAATAATTAAAAATATTAATGACAGAAAGTTTTAGACCAAACTAGAAACTCGAATCTTAATGCCTTAGGGTTTTTTCTTTTCTTTTTTATTCAATGAATAATGAAAAAGCTTTGGTAGTCAAATTTGCTATTTTGCTGTTGGAGGTAGATTGTTTTATTAAATTGTTTTATCATGCATGCCTATTTTAGCACCTTTCTAGAGAAAGGGCATTTAATATTTGTTAAACCAATATGGCATGGCATGCATGCTACATATGAGCACCTGACAATTTGAAATATAATAAATGATATAATATAAAAATGAAACGATTAAAAAATACAAAAATAATATGATTTAAAATTTTAAAAAATTCATAAATAAACTTAATAAAATAAAAAAAAATTATATTTTATTTTTTGTGTTAACATGAATTATGACACATAATTTTTATATAAAATATAATATAAATATAATATTTTACATGACATGATGATACAAATTATCATATATATATATATATATACATATGGCTGTGGAGACTCTTGAATTTTAATTCCCAACCAAGATTCACTCTATATGCATGGCACTCTCCCAAGTGCTCTTGGGTCTATCGATATCCTCTTTGTTCTCAAAACAGTGAATCTTTAAAAAAAAAAAAAATTTAACGTAGCCTTGGTTTTCTGGTTGAGGCAGTGCTAAGGCACTCATGAATCATTGCATGCTGAAGCAAAGGGAATTTTAGAATGAAATCATCTGGGAAACCTCCAAAGCAAAACTTAAAACCATCATCATTTTGTCGTAGAAGATGGAATGAAAAGCCAACTGCCTGTGCTGATTTTGTTTGTTGGAGTTGGATACTTGTCTATCCTCTAAAATCCCTAGTCTAAGTCTTAATCATCAGTTGTCATTTGTTCCCACTTTTCCTACTCTTTTTTGTTGCTTTCAAACCTCATAATTACAATTTTCAAGGTGCTTCCTGTTTGTTGGAGGACAGCCCATGCATTCATGGGTTTCCTATGAATCACCACTTTCTTCTTTTTGGGTTGCTTCGACTTGTAACTGTTATAAATGGATCAAAATTTAAAAATTACAAGAACTGTTAACTCAGAATAAAATGAAAAAGTTAACAAATTGGGTATTGGCCAAACGAAAGTCAACAAATTAGAATTGGATTACTTCGACTTGTGACGGTTATAAATGGACCCTATTGTTAGAGGGCTGTCAGCCCAAAGAGCCAGAAACTTCTGCTATCCGCTTATATTTTGGTGCCGTTCAATGCTTCATCTTTTACTTCTACACCTCTATTTGGAGTTTCTATCAAATTTTACATTTTTTTCATCAGAAAACAAAGTTTCTTTTTTTTTTTTCCTTTTATTGTTATATAAAATTAAACTACAAAATTCATGGCTAGACATTACTGCATGTTTACATTACTTAATTTCTGAAGAATGGAAATTAATCATATATATATATATATATATATCTATATCAAACAAACCCCAAAAGAAAATTAGGTTCTATTTTTCATAACAAAATTAGGTTCTGTTTGAAATTTTAGAGCTTTGTTCAGCTTGATAATAACCTTCACCAATATTTTCGACTACATTTAATGGTTCTAAAAATGATTGTATAAAATTTAAAATTTAATATTTAAAATTTTTTTATTTTCAAATTACATTTTCTTTTATAAAAAAATTCATGCTTTATACACATAAATCATTAATGAACAATTATACCACGTGATGATATATACTAGCTAGTATATATACTATTTCTTCAATCTCATTTTTTTTTCCATTTTTTTAGATATCTTAAAGTTATATTTTTTTAATATCTAAAATTCATAATTTTTATGATTTTTTATTTTTTGACATTAAAAATTATGAAATTTTAATTTTATAAAAAATTTAAATCTAATATTAAATATATTAAACTTAAAATTTTTAAAAATTTCTATAAAAATTAATAACATT